CTTCCCTGGTTAGCGTTGGTTGTGTACCTTCGCTCTCTGCCTCCTTCCTAGCCAGCTGGACTTGTATGGCTACCGCCTGATGGAGAATTCCCATTGGCCATCACGGCCATGTGGGCATTACTTCCCAGCGAGTAAGCTGAGTTCAAATGGACCAATCATGGGCCCAGGTCTTTGGTTCAAGGTAGCTTGATTTGAGTGTAAATCTGGAGACTTAGAAGTGTGCCTTTTTCTATTATCTAAAGTCATTTTTAAGCTTAGGTTGACTGAAACCAGAGTTACTTAAACTTTGAAATGAGGCAGACAACAAACAATATGATATTCTAAAAAGAATTGTGTGAAGAAGATTAGTTTATTGGTTTTAATCAAGTCTGGTGTTACTGTCGCAAATTCTTCGCTGCGCTTTAGCAGAAATGCTCAGAGTTCCAGGTTCTTCAGTGCAGTATATTTATTGTGAGCTATATATACAAATATCTACAGGCTATAATACACGAGCAGTTCATACGGGCAAACGGGCAAATAGGAAGACCTCTAACTCTCTCTCTCTGACCACACTCCTCTACACCACACCTTTACTGATGGACAGGTTTCCCTTTTAAACTGATGACAGCCAATCAACTGAAAGCACATTACTGCTGAGTCATTCTGACCCAGCACTTCCATAGAAAGTATTGCAGGTTGATTGCATCAGCCAGTTGCATCAACTAGCAAACTCAAGCCAGCAGACTTACTATCTCACACAGCATTCTGAGAATCCCGACAGTTACTGCATCACAAATCTTCTTTTAAGCAAAGTTGTTCTTATTATTCATTTTCTTTAGTAGTCAGACAACACACATTCACAACTGCAATTTATATATCACAAATAGATGAAGGGGGTGTATAAGAGAATGGCTACATGTGTGTGTGCTTAGCCCAATTGACATTGGATGTTGACCTTGCCCACTTGACTACTTTCCGCACAAGCAAATTTACCCAGGATTCCACCTAAAGGGTCTCAGACTGGGATCTTTCCCAGTCCTGTCAGAAGATAGAAGTAACTAAAGCTGACATTGTGTGTTTAAAAAGCATGAGTTCTGCTACTATTTATAGATGTAGTGAAGGAGATTGACTTCTAGGTTTAGGGAACCAGCAAGCGTGTTTTTGTACTGATGTTTTCCAATTTCAATCAGCTACCCAATACTTTCTTCCATGTGAAAACATGTGATTATTGGTGAAACTATGGGGCACTGAATTATATTTCTTTATACTCAAGTATCCATGTCTGCAACTTTGTCATTTCTGCTGGTTCTCTCTTAATGAATTGTTCCATTTTCCAAAGCTTTGAACAAAGTAAATCAGTTATCGGTGGTATTCTGTTAATAGATTTCCAGTTGTCTCATCAGTCAGTAACTCCTCCTGTGCTTCTCTGTCCATTTACTACAGTATACCTATTGACTGCAGTGAGCAACACTGCATGAAACAGGTCTGGGGGCGGGGGGAGGAATGGCAAGAATAGTTTACTGTTAACTGCCAAGCAAATCTGAGTCTGAAAAAAACTTCCTATTGTTCCAGTGAACACTTGAAACATTCTTATGATGCCTGAGTATCAGGAGTATATACTTGATGTTGGATAAAACTTGATGTTGGATATACTTGATGTTGGATAAAATAGATATGGATAAAATAGTTACTCTGCATTTCCCCCCTCTTTTTTCCACAAATACACAATTCCTTTTGACTTCAGCATTTTTGCCTAACTGCAAAAACAAAGGAAAAAGAGCACAGGAGAGCTCACACACAAACTAGCCATTACCAGTATAGTTTCATTTTTAAATTTTCAGTTTTTTCCACATAGCCCATATTTTGGGTTTGTTGGTGGAAGAGAGATGGTCAAGAAAAGAAATAAAATGTGTTAATTTTAATTATATGTTGCAAGTTACTCAAATTACAAATAGAATGAAAATGCTGCTCCCCAAGCTATTTTGCCTGCATCCGTTCTAGAACCACACAAGGCAATTTCAGAATTAGTGGTACAGTAAGTAAATTTATGGGAAAGATGGAGGGCACAAAGACCCTGATGTTGGGAAAGAATGTTGGGAAAGATGGAGGGCACAAGGAGAAGGGGACGACAGAGGACGAGATGGTTGGACAGTGTTCTCGAAGCTACCAACATGAGTCTGACCAAACTGCGGGAGGCAGTGGAAGACAGGAGTGCCTGGCGTGCTCTGGTCCATGGGGTCACGAAGAGTCGGACACAACTAAATGACTAAACAACAACAACAAAGTAAATTTATATTCTGCTAAATTACAGTCTTTGAAATAGCTGATCTGCTGTCAATAAGATCATTGTATATGTAAATGCTTCAAACTGGCTTTAGGAGGTGTGTTTACACCTGGTTCAAATATCACATTCCTGGTCCAAGAAATGGTTTGTTGGATGAGAGAAGAGCTCTAGCACGGAATCCTCTTTTCTTCAATTCCTTCCTGTTTAATTGGTCCTTGCAAAACAAGATTGCAAATCATAGTTTAATCAAACCACAATTATCTGGTGTATACATGATGCCAAACTGTGGCTCAACAAATCAGGAAGCCAGACATGGAAGGGGCAGAGGGGAAGGACAGGCAGAGCTTTGAGCTTGTGTCTTGTTCCTAGTAAACATATCGTGGTTTATTAGACCAGAAAGATGACTTCTGAATTATGATTCCTACTAAAACTTCTTGGTGCTTCTGATAGTTCCATAAAACTCTTGAGTAGCACCTACCTATGTAAGCATTTGACTACAGTAATGCCATTTGGCCGTCTTCAAGGAGTATTTAAATCATTTGCATTCAGCCAATGTTTCTTGAGCAGTAGAGTTCTCCTTTGCAGATCTGAAGCATTAGCAATACCTTGGTTTATGTGCTATTTTTGCCTTTTTTCCAGCTTCTTCAATAAATTTTTCATCCTGCAGTATTTCATCTAGTCACGAACAATGCACCCATTTCCTTCCAGCCCTCCAAACTGTACTGCTGTGGTAAATTATATTTTATGGACACTTACCCAATTTCTGGAACTTTAACCAACAAATCCCAATCTGAATATTTTACATTCGCATGTACAGGCGGAGAAAAGCACTCAGCCGAGCTCAAATGAACAAAATTTAAATCAAACCCCTGGTGCTTTTGCAAATAACATTGGAAAATAACCTTTGTTACTCACTTTTTAAATTTCAGTTTTCTATTAGGAAGGCTACAGCTTCTCAGTTTTGGTCTTTATGGTTAGAAAGTGGCTCATCCCATTCAATCAATAATATAGTTTCTACCTGCCCCTGCCCTCCGCTTAGTCTGGGTCTTCAAATGAAATGATAACAATTGATTTACAGACACACACAAATGATCAAAGGAGGAATGCAATCATACATTGCTTCCCTCCCCCTCCCCCTTTACAACATGGTCCTGATCCTGGTCAGATCGTCCCACGGTGCCTAAGGAATGCACTATTAATTGCAGGCGCCATTGACTTTCATAAGAAGAGCTTTTGAGACCAGACCAAAGATTTTGTCCAGCATTCTCTTCCAACAGTGGTCACCCACATTTCTGCAGGAAGTCCACAAGTAAAACATGAGTACAGTGGTACCTCGGGTTATGAACTTAATTCGTTCTGGAGGTCCATTCTTAACCCGAAACCATGAGGCGTGCTTTCGCTAATGGGGCCTCCTGCTGCCACCATGCCACCGGCGCACGGTTTCCATTCTTATCCTGGGGCAAAGTTCTCAACCCGAGGCACTACTTCCGGGTTAGCGGAGTTTGTAACCCAAAGTGTTTGTAACCCGAAGCGTTTGTAACCCAAGGTACCACTGTACAATAGTCCTCTCCTACTGGTGATACTGCAGGGAGTACAAAGCCATTGAGACAAGCAGTCATTGACTGCCATGAATCTGTGCAATCCCATTTTAAAGCTATCTAAATTAGTGACCATAACCACATACTGTGGAAACTAATCCCATCACTGGGCCCTAAGGAAGTCAGATTAGCCTCAACCAGAGCCAGGGCCTTTTCAACACTGGCACCGGCCTGGTGGAATGCTCCGTCTCATGAGACCAGGGCCCTGCAGGATCTGCTTTCTTTCCACAGGGCCTGTAAGACAGAATTGTTCTGCCTGGCCTTTGGCTTGGAATCAACTTGATCCCCCTCTTTTCTTTTCTTTTTCCTTTTGTGATGGAACTCCTATTTGGGAACTTCCCAGGCTTTTTTCTGGTCCACGTCTGGATAGTTGGCCTTCGTGAAGATTTGAGGTTTTCATCCCCAGAAAGGTTTTGATTTGAGTTTCTACTGAAATGGGGCTGCATTTTAATGTTGTATTTTAATCAATTGTTTTAATACTTGGTGTTAGCTGCCCTGAGCCCGGTCTTGGCTGGGGAGGGTGGGGTATAAATACAAATTGTTGTTGTTGTTGTTTCTCTACTTTTTCCACCCAATGCATAATTTTAGAAATCTCTACCATTTCCCCTTGCTTTTTAAAAAATAGAAAATGGACCCCCCCCCCAAGTAAGGTTGCCAGACGTCCCCATTTCCCGGGGACAGTCCCCAGATTTACAGATCAGTCCCCATACAAAATCAATTGAAGCTGAAAAGTATTCCAGGATTCATAGAAAAAATCTGGTAACCTTACTGTTAAGTTGTGGGTGAACATATCAGATGACACAGTGATTCTTCAAACAGCTCTTGTTTATTCAGAGGCCAGAACAGAACTGAGCTGAAGGGCTCAGTCAGCCTGCTTATATAGAGCTCCAGTACAATGTTACTGTAGCAACTTTCTAAAACTATCCAATCACTGAACGTCACTTTCGATCCTTCATTTGCATAACTATCTACAGTATCCCCCTGCTGGCCCAGGGTGAGAACTTCAGTACATAACACCCCTCCCCACCGAGATAAGGCGTTAGTTACAATCGTAATGGTTTCCTTATATACAGCACTACACGTAATGGTTCAATTAGGCACAAAAACATATCGGTTACATTTCACATACTTCCACATGCTTAGACTAACAGTGTTACATGTCCAACAACATAGTCCTTTAAATAAGTTGGGTGCTTGGAAACTCTGCCAGACCGCCGGGGACTGGTAGCCAAGTCCGGGGGGGCACCCAATTCTTGCTGAGGCTGTGGTGCAACCCTAGGTGGTGTTGAAACCAAGTCCCCTGGATCCGCTGCTGTGGGTGGAACCTCCGCAAGTGGAGTTGGCGGAATGTCAGGCACGGCAGTGGTCTGAGTCTGTGGTAAGTCCAGCAGACCCTCTGAAGTGGCTTGGTTCAGCTCCATGCCAGCAGTTTGCGAGAGAGGTGTAGGTGGAGCCTCACCATCTGTAAGTGTCTGTTCTGGAGCCATGAGTGCAGTTGGGGGCACCACAGTAGTGTCCAAGTCCCCAACCCTGCGCCTAAACTGGTCTATGTGCCGACGCCACAAGCGTCCGTCTTTGAGTGCCACCTGGTTCGAGCGAGGTCCAGTGACTCCCACAACTGTGGCTGGCACCCAAGGAATATCCCCCACAAAGTTCCGGGCAAAGACCTGGTTTCCTGGAACAAATGACCATGGCGCATTGGCACAGCCTGGGGGTTTGGCCACGGCAAAGTCTGGGTGCAGCTGGTCGAGCGGGGACCTGCGGCGGCGGCCCATAAGCAGTTTGGCAGGACTCCGCCCTGTGGCCACATGAGGGGTGATGTGTTGTACGAACAAGTATTCGGCGACCCGCTCATGCCAGTTTCCCCGGTCCAGGTGCGCCAGTGCCTCTTTTGCCAAGCGCACCATTCTCTCTGCTTGCCCATTGCTGGATCGATGAAATGGTGCCGTTAGGGCATGGCGGATGCCCAGTCCCAAAAGGTACTGCTCAAAAGTGCCTGGCGTGAGCTGTGGTCCGTTGTCGGAGACAAGGACATCAGGACACCCATGCGTCACAAAGAGGCCTCGCAGCACCCGGATGATGGCCTCAGTAGTGGTGGAGGGCATCAGGGCCACCTCCAGCCATTTGGAATAGGCGTCCACCACTACCATAAAGGTCCAGCCATGAAAGGGGCCAGCCAGATCGATGTGCACCCTCGACCAGGGTGTCTTGGGCATCTCCCAGGTGTGTCCCTTAGCTGCCGGTGGCGCAGGCCTTGATTCTTGGCACGCTTGACAGGCGGAAACCCAGGTAGTGATGGCATCGTCCATGTTAGGCCACCAGATGTAACACCGAGCCAATGCCTTCATTTTGACGATTCCTGGGTGGCCAACGTGCAGAGCCTCAAGGACACGTTGACGGAGTCTTTGGGGAATCACGACACGGTCTCCCCACAGCAGACAGCCGCGATGAGCCGAGAGTTCATGTTGTCTGGTTGCGAAGGGCTGGAACTCCAATGCAAAAGGCCCTTGTGGCCACCCCCTCCACACCCAGTTGAGCACACGGCCGATGGTGCGATCCTGAGCAGATGCGGAGGCCACAGTGGCAGCCGATACAGGCGCTGCCGGAAGATCCTCAATCAGGAGGAACGATGAAGCAGGAGCCGGGTCTTCCACAAACGCTGGAAGAGGGCAATGGCTGAGGGCGTTGGCATGGCCCATCAATTTTCCCGGGCGATGGACGAGCCGGTAGTGATAGGCAGCCAGGAAAACAGTCCATCGCAGCATGCGCAGCAAGAGGACCAGTGGAGTTGGACGATCACCGGCGAGAAGGCCCAGGAGTGGCTTGTGGTCGGTGATGAGGTCAAAAGTTCTGTCGTAGAGGTATTCATGGAACCTCTTCACTCCAGCCACAAGTGCCAGTGCCTCCTTGTCGAGCTGGCTGTAATTCCATTCAGTCAGAGATAGCGTCCTGGAAAAGTAGGCGAGCGGTGCTTCTCTTCTGTCTGGAAAACGGTGACTAAGGACAGCGCCGATGCGCACGGGAATGGTTGCCTCCACAGCCGGCACATTCCGATTGGCCCTTGGACTTCTGTTGGAACTTCCTGCACTCCCGCTTTGTCTGGTGCACGTCATCGTCTTCACTGGAGGATGCCTCATCACTGCTGGCCTCTTCATGATGCACTGGAACTGGCTTCCTAGCAAGATGCGGGCTGCTGGCCTTGCGGATTTCCTGGGCAGAGCATTCGGCAGCTTCCGAGGCCACGGCCTCCTCAATGGCTTTCTGCAGCGTGAGGTCTGGCTTGGCGAGGAGACGCTGTTGCAGACGGATGTCCCGGACCCCACAGACAATTCGATCTATCAGGGCATCGTCTAAGTCTCGGAACTCACAGTGAATTGCAGCCTGTTGGAGGGCAGCAGTGTAGTTGTTAATTGACTCCCCCTCTGACTGGTTCCGGTGGTAGAATGCATGGCGGGCAGCAATCTTGGACGGCTTTGGCGCATAGTGGTTGCGGAGCTTCTCTTGAATCGTGTCCCATGGTGTTGCCTGGACTGCTTCAGTCGCAACCAATGCTCGGGCCGTCTCAAACACCTCAGGCCCACAGAGGCTGAGGAATAGGCCCTGCTTCCGCTCCTTTGATATTTCTGTCAGCTCGTTGGCTTGGAGGTAGCAGTCGAACCGAGCGAGGTAGGAGTCCCATGATTCAGAGGCTGGCGCAAACGGTGGTAGAGGCACAAGTGAAGCCATGATTCCGATGCCGGCGTGAAGGGCGATGGATGGAACAAAGTGCTCTAGCCAGAGCAGTCACCTCTGAATTGGTTCTGTTCAGTGATTTCGCTCGGTGTTTCAGCTCAGTGATTCAGCTCTGCTCAGAGGGTGGCCGCATCTGGCTGTGCTCCTTTGTCCATCCATCCCATCCTCGTCGCCAGTGTTAAGTTGTGGGTGAACATATCAGACGACACAGCAATTATTCAAACAGCTCTTGTTTATTCAGAGGCCAGAACAGAACTGAGCTGAAGGGCTCAGTCAGCCTGCTTATATAGAGCTCCAGTACAACGTTACTGTAGCAACTTTCTAAAACTATCCAATCACTGAACGTCACTTTCAATCCTTCATTTGCATAACTATCTACAATATCCCCCTGCTGGCCCAGGGTGAGAACTTCAGTACATAACACTTACCCCAAAGGTGAAGCATTTCCTCATGGGGGAGTTGCTCCAGCCCCCTGATAATATTGGTTGCCCTTTTCTGCAACCTTTTTTTAAGATCTGCAATATCATTTAGTGGTGTGGTAACCAGTATAATAGGTTGTGTAGTGTGCATTGTTGTAATGTGTATGTGCTGCCCTGCTCCCAGTTTCCCTGGTTTCCAAAAGTATCCATGGGTCAGAACACATTTCCAATCTTTGTCCAACTCCCACAAGAGACATACCATTAAATCACATTCGATTCTATTTGGGGGACTGGGGTTGCTGCACACATGGATCCTCATTTGAAATATAATTCATATGCAGAAGCCAAATTCCATGTGTTAATTGAAAGAAATGGGCCATTCCAAGATACATATGCGACTGTTTTCCATTATGAATGTTCATAATGTTTTTAATAAATGATTTTTAATTTTTCAAGTAGCCACTAATTCACCATTTATTTCGGATGGGTAAGAGAACACTCTAAAGAGTTGCAACAAATTTGGCTTGCCACAAAAAGCCATCTAATGGCATTCTAGGAAGACGACTGACAAACATTACTTCCATTAGCAAAATGAGTAATGCCACCCAGCTCAGGCAAGAAATATTTAACACATTTCTACTTTTTTCTCCTTCACAGATGAACAGAGAATAAAATTTAACTAGTCCACTGTCAGCACCTCCCATTTTATCTTTAAATAATTATTTTGCTTTTCTATTGTATTATCCTATATAGAATTCAGATCCCCTAATCACTACTTTAGGAACAAGGACAAAAGCAGATAATAGAGTGAATAAAGGAAATTAAAAGAGACTCCTCTTAAAAATTCATTTACAATACTGAAAACATAATTACCATTGATTGTCACATTTTTTGGGGTTCTCACTTTGTGGCCAGTTATTTATAATTTGTTAATTTCAATACTCATTATGCTTTGATTACATTCTTTTATTTTATTTTTTCTCCAGGAGGAAACAATTTCAAGTACCCTTTTCCTCCTCTTCACTGTTTGTATTCCGCAGCTGAGAATTTGACATCTTCTTGAATCCATTTGTATCCATCTATCCTGTCTCTTGAGGGTCTATTTTGAGCTGATTGTCTTTGGAGGGGGGAGGAACGTTTAAGGGTACTTGGTTGAAAATCAGCCACTGAATGACAAGAGCTTATTTAAAGTGCTCCTTGCACCTACTTTTTAGGGTGGAATTGCATTTGTGGGATTGCCAATATAAACTGTATACATTCAAGCAGCAGCAAACATCACATCAAGTCCAGACTTCTTACTAAAGTTTTAGGCTGGCTGCAGGAAGAAAAAGTCAATTTTCTGTTCCACAAAATGCTGCCCTGTTCTGAGCTGTTAAAATCATTCTTTCCAACATGACATCCACTACAGCTTGTTAAGTCCAGGCCTGCACCACTTAACGCTACGAAAAGGCCAGTTCCATGGTATTTAACACCAGCTAAATCAGGACGCGGGTGGCGCTGTGGTCTAAACCACAGAGCCTAGGGCTTGCCGATCAGAAGGTCGGCGGTTCGAATCCCCGTGACGGGGTGAGCTCCCATTGCTCAGTCCCTGCTCCTGCCAACCTAGCAGTTCAAAAGCACATCAAAGTGCAAGTAGATTAATAGGTACTGCTCTGGCGGGAAGGTAAACGGTGTTTCCATGCGCTGCTCTGGTTTGCCAGAAGTGGCTTAGTCATGTTGGCCAAATGACTCGGAAGCTGTCTGTGGACAAACGCTGGCTCCCTCGGCCAGTAAAGCGAGATGTGCGCTGCAACCCCAGAGTCGTTCACGATTGGACTTAACAGTCAGGGGTCCCTTTACCTTTTTAAACTTGCCAAAATGTATAAGACAAGAACTAATGAGTGCTGGAAATGTAAAGAAAACGAAGGTATCTTTTACCACATGTGGTGGACTTGTAAAGAGGTAAAGGCTTTCTGGGAAATGATATATAATGAGTTAAAGAAAATGTTAAAAAAATACTTTTGTTTAAAAAAACAGAATCCCTTTTATTGGTTAAGCGTGTTCTCCCTAGCAGAGAGCACGTGCTGTGGTGGGGGCCAGCAGGCCACCCCACTGTTGCTGGGCAGATATGTTTGGATGGCCATAGGCAGTGACTAGATGATTCGAGCCTCTGGGGAGATTTTGATGTTGCCAATTTGGAGGAGGGGTCAAAGGTTTTAAATCCTGGACACGCAGCTTTGGGCGTCCTCTTGGGATGCGTGCACCGGATCACCCTCCCACCCTCCCTGAATTGGGGTGGGGGTTCTTTGCTTTGACCTTGCTATGCCTGTCATGGGGTCGCCTGCTTTTGGGGCAGGGACCTGGTAGGAATTTTATCCATTTGGCTGATTGGTTGGTGCCATTTGGTTTTTGCCTACTGCGTAGCAAATCATCACAACTTGTAAGGTTTTTGGTTAGGCATTGGTTAAAATTGGTTGGTGGAGGGGTAAGTGCCTACCCCTCCAATGGTGGTGCTGCAAGGGAATTCTGTTAAAGGAATCCAGGGGCTTGCCATTCTTTCGTCCAAGTCCCTGGCATTGGGCTTGGGCCGTGCAAGCCCCTGGGAGCATGTGGGTGAGAAGTGAGGGTCTGAGGCCCAGCTTCATTTCTCCCCAATATTGTTTTCCCTGACTGGCTTCCGCTGGAATCCGGAAGTCAGTTCTGTCCCTGGGGCAAGGACAGATAGTCGTAACCAATGCCTAAGCAACCACTCACATGTGTGTATTTAAATAAAGTTGTGGCTAAAATCATGCCAAAAACCTTAAACAAAAATTGATGTGTGAAGTGTGAGTTTATTTGGGGTGGCTTGGGGACCTCGACACGCAATAGTGGATGAAGAGATACCAAGGGAAGATAAAAGACTGTTTATATATGCAACAACTGCAGCAAGAATTCTTTTAGCCTGAAAATGGAAACAACAAGAAGTACCAATGAAAGAAGAGTGGCAGATGAAGAGGATGGATTTTGCAGAACTGGCAAAGCTGACAGGAAAAATCCGAAACCAGCATGATCAAGTATTCCAAAAGGACTGCAGTAAATTTATACAATATCTGAAAGATTATTGTAAGCATTTAACAGCACAAGCAGGGTTGTTTGAAGACTTGTAATGAGAAACATTCTACCTTTCTATATTTATTTAAATTTTGAGTTTACTTTGTAATGTGTGTAATTAGAATTATCAAATAATGGAGGCATACAATTTGGACAAAAAAGTTGGTTTCCAGGTGGAAAAATCAAAATTGGAAACAGAACTGTTAGATTCTAAAATCAAGAATTTGTCAAAAATGTATAACTTGCTGTTGAAATGGAGCACCCAAGATGAAACGGTGAAATCTGCTATGATTAAATGGGCACAAGATGTCGGACATAATATAATGATGGCTGACTGGGAACAGTTATGGACCACAGGTATGAAATTTACTGCATGTAATGCTCTAAGAGAAAACTTAATGAATATGATTTATAGGTGGTACATGACACCAGTCAAGCTTGCAAAAATCTACCATTTGCCCGAAAATAAATGTTGGAAATGTAATGAGACTGAAGGTACATTCTTTCACCTTTGGTGGACATGCCCAAGGATTAAAACATTCTGGGAGATGATTTATAATGAAATGAAAAAGGTATTCAAATATACCTTTCTGAAGAAACCAGAGGCCTTTCTCCTGGGCATGGTCGGCCAATTGGTGCCAAAGAAGGACAGAACTTTTTTTATGTATGCTACAACAGCAGCAAGAATACTCATCGTGGAGACTTCCGGGTTGGCGCCTCTGGCAATGGCGGATTTCCTCCGATCGGGAGGAATCCGCTCCGTGGAAAACAGGGTCTGAACCGCCACGGCGAGGCGGAGACCCATTAAAAACCACAGGCGGGAGAAGCCTGTGGACGTGGGATTCGGCTGGCACCTTTGCGCCCCCCCTACTCGCGGGGAAACCCGCATTCAGGGTTCCGGAGTGATGTGGGGTGAGTGGCGCGGTGCCTTGAATCGACTGCTTCTTTCACGGAGTGAAGCCGCATTGCTGTTGCCGGAGAGTGCTGACTTTTTCCTGTGGACAATTGGATTTTAAACAACTGCCCGTGAGTAGAACGGAAAATTGGATTAAGAATTTTTTTAATTTGGCACTGAAGCGGGAAGGTCTAAACAGGAAGTCCGCCTTCCGCTTTTGTAGATAGATTGAAGCAAAGACACGGCAAGCTAGAGTTTAGAAAGTCGTCTGTAAAGGATCAAATTCTCATCATTTAAAATTACTGAACCCCCCTTGGAAGCAGGAGAAGAGGGGGGAACCTTTTTTAGACTGTTTAAACCTGCAGAAGAGAGAGTAAAGAAAGGCAATTTTCCACCGTCTTGAACCTGGGAGCGGGGTGTCAGGACAGACGTTCTGGGAAGTTCATTGACTATGGACAAACGTTTTTGACAGATAGTTAAAAGAAGAGAAACATATTGATTCCATTGTTCCCCTTCGCACTTAAAAGGAACAAAATATTGACAAAATATCTGAAAAAGGAAAACTTTGTTGCTAGATCTGCTTTTTAAAAAAAAAAAAAAAAGATGGATAC